GAGGAGGAGGAGGAGGAGGAGGAGGAGGAGGAGGAGGAGGAGGAGGAGGAGGAGGAGGAAGCTGCAAGGTTGTCACCTGGAATGGGGGTGGGTGGATGGTATATTTGGGGATCAGCTGCCTGTAACCTTGTCTTCCATATGGATGTGGCTATCTTAGAAGAATCTCCATCCTTAAACCTCCTTTTGTGCTGGATACTGAAAAAGGCATTGTCAGGGCTAAAAAGGACCTAGACAAAATCCTCACTGTTTCAATTCAGAACTCTGTTTAATCAGTCCCTGGAGACAATGTAGTGGGTGTTAGGCAGGACAATAGCATCTTTTTAAACCTTGTGGCCTTCAGGAAGACAAAGGGCTTGAATTTTATGGGCTTACAACTTCAGTTAGAATAGTGCCAATGCGCATGGGAGATTATCAAATTTGTATCATAAAACCCCTGTCTAACAGATGATTGGTAGGGAGGAAGCCCCAACTTTGTAAGATGTATATTGGGACCTGCGGGAGCTTCTCTGTTAGACTTGGCTGAGCAGATGTGAAAGAAAAAGAGGAAGGGATTTCTGAGGAAGGCCTGAGTTGGGATTTGTAGCTGGCTGTGTGTTTGACAAGTCCATGCTCCTCCTGCATGAATAGGAAAGAGTTAAGGAGAGGGGGGTTCAGCAGATCGTAGACCCTGTGACGTGGTGAGGGTCTAGAAATGTGAGGTCTGCAGAAAAAAGAGATCTAGTCTGTAGGGAGAAAGACTTAACAGGAGGCTATGGAAGAAAATGTATTCACAGCCAGACTCATCATGGTCCCAAACGGTGAGTCAAATTAGAGTCATGGGTTTAGAGTCACAGCAGGATGGACCCAGTGAGCCAACACTGCTCTGAGCAGGAAGGAGACAGTGGCACCAGCAGCCACAATATACAAACTATTAGTCTTTTGTATTCTTTTGCCAGAAAGTCCTTCCTAAAGAAATAAAGACCCCACGGAAAGAGCAAACTGCATTCCCATATCATGGTTTCGTTTTAGAGACTCAGGTTGGTATCTATGTTATTCCATCCATACTTATGATAAGATAGAAAAGTGTCTACTTCCTTTGTGACCCAAAAGCTGAATCCAAGTCATTTCTGCCAACTGCTGTGAAGATAGTCAGGCGCTCCCTCTCCACAGGGTCTCCCTCCTCAGAGCGAGTGTCTGATCCTGTCATCCACCTTGGACATGACAAGGCAGAGTCACACTCAGAAAAAAAGCTCGTAGCAAAATTTGCTGCATTTCCAGGTACATTCACAGCTGATCTCGCAGAAACCTTACACGCACACACACGCGCACACACGGTAGATAGGATAAAGACAAGAAACCATCACAAAGTAATTATAAACTTCAAAGGATGTTACTATTGTCCTTAGTTTAACTCACATTTAGCCACCACGCTTACCTAAGATCAATTGTCACCTTATATATACTGTCCAGCCATCATGCATATGGACAGGCTGCAAGAGCAAGCTGGAAGCACTCTATACAACTCAAGGCCACTACTGGAGCTGCTCACAGAGCCCACTGACTTACTAACACTTATTACCTATGGGCCAGAGGATAGTCCAAAGATTTTCGAATATAATAGAACATTCAGTCCTCAAGAGATAGTACTGCCAACCCCGCTGTCATATGTGGAATCTTAAGGTCGATGAGATTGTAAGTAGTTAGTCTAGGGTTAAGTGGTAGGCTGAGACCTTTAGATTGAGTGCATGCGTATGTGCGTGTGTGCATGTGTGTGAATGTGTGTGTATTCGTGTGCATGCGTGTGTGCATGTGTGTGCATGTGTGTGCATATGTGTGTGCATGTGTGTGCATGTGTGCGTGTATGTGTGTACATGTGTGTGCATGTGCATGTTTGTGCATGTGTGTGCGCATATGTGTGTGCATGTGTATGTATGTATGTGTATGTGTATACATGTGTGTGTGCATGTGTGTGTGCATGTGCATGTGTGTGCATGTGTGTGTGCATGTGCATGTGTGTGTGCATGTGTGTGTGTGCATGTGTGTGTATGCATGTGCATGTGTGTGTGCATGTGTGTGTGTGTGATGAGCATGTGTATGTGCAGGTGTGGGAATGCTCAGTGTTTATGAGTGCATGTGGAGGGGAGGCCAGAGGTTAAGGCTGAATGTCTTCCTCAACTTTTTTCTACCTGGGTTTATAAGACAGCGTCTCTTACTGAACAGGGAACTTCAAGACTCAGCTAGTCTGATGACAGGCAACCCTTAGGATTGACAGGCAATCCTCCTGCCACTACCCTTCCACAACTGAGCCATCTCACATGAGCCTTTAGTCATATGGTGGCAATTATTCTTGCAGTCTTTTGTCCTAGGATTTTCATTCAACAACCTTGGTTACTTTCTCACAGACGTTTCCTTAAAGATATGTTCTTTAGCATCTTTCTGTCTCTCTGTTTTGTCTCCACCATCCCCAATTCCCAAACCTCTAGCTTTGAGACACAGCCTTTGTGTTCCCCTGTCTATCTGTATGCATTCTTATCTCTCTGTCAGTGAGATGGAGCTCTTGCACAGGTCACGGTATTCTCCTGTGACTATCATTCCCCTGCTATTTCAGAAAAAAAAATCTGTTGCCACTGCCTTGACATCAAAAGCTCAGTGTTCAGCAGGGTTGTTGCTGATTCTGGTAAGCTCCTTTAAGCTGTTCCCAACCCCCATGCCCAGCTCCTGGTGGAGCTGTGTAACTCTGCCTTGCTTAGATATTTCCTTCCTAGGTCTCCAATTTAATCTTTATTATTAAATATCATCCTCTTCACATCTAGTGTTCCTTCCATTGTAAACATTTTCACTTCATCTCACTTAAATCTCTTGCTGGTGGAGATTGCAATTTTCACTTCAATTTTCTTTTCTTGTTGTTCAGAAGATCTTACATCTTAGCACATCTCTTATCTGGCCAATTTAGCACTTTAGTATCTTAGATAATGTGCTCCTGAGGGGTTAGAAAGAAGTTCTTTGAGCCCAGGTTAACCTACACCTTCGCTTTTAACGATGGAGTTTTATTATTCTCTTGACTTGGTTGGTATCATTCATTAGCCTCCCTGTCTCTCTTTCTGGCCCCTCTTTGTGTGTGTCTCTCTCTCTTCTCTTCTATACATGTGAACACACACACACATTAAAGCAATTTTGCCTTGTGAATAAGATACACAAGCATGTGGTTGTAGACTTGACATGGTTGAACATTTGGTTAACTCTTTGTCTGCCAGGAACGTTTCAGCTAAACAGAGTAAGTTGTCAGTGAATATGAAGAACAGATAGTCAAAGTTGCCTTTAGAGGAAGCAGGGTCCCTACCACAGCAATTTCTGCCAACGTGGCTATATTATTTAGTGTTCAAAATCTGCCTGAGAAACTGCATCCCACAGGACCACTTATATTTCCAAGCCACTCTGGAAGTAGAGACATCTAAATGGCTCCTTAGTTCCAACTCTGCATCTGTTTACCTCTCTCTGGTTCCCTGGACACATGCACACCAACCAAAGGCATTTAACAATAACCAAAAGGCATTCTCCTTTCCTCCTTGTGCCTGCCACTCATATTACTCAGTCTGTAAGTTCACTAAAGGTGAACAGTGCATGGAGGCTGAGCCCTGCACTTATGATTTGGCCTTACAGGGAGACCAAGAAGAGTTGTATAGGCTATTGATCCAACAGTCCAGTGCTCCTTCTATTCCAGCTCCTTTCCAAATGTTCAAGTTTAGGGTTTCTCAGACTTTCCAGTCATGTCTAGTACACAAGCCTTAGTGTTTATTCTGAAATGAAAAAGAAAATACATTACAAATTAGAAGTAGAAAGTAGTTTTCACGTTAATAACCTGCCTTGTGGACAAACAACAAAAACCCAAAACCTCTCTAGGTTTCTTTTGAGGTTGGGTAATTTCAAAACCCACTGCAGTTCCGCATAACTTCAGGGAGCAGGGTGTGACTGAGGGGACATCTGAGGGACTGGTCATGCATAACGTCCTCCTGTATTCTGACTGGGTGGTCTTGTATTAAGAGGAACAGGTTTTCAAATGCTTTTCTTCAGCTAAAAGCTCTGAATT